CATAACCTACCTCGAAACAAGTTTGATCCTTCCTTTTACAGATGTGTTCCACATGTTCTTGGTCTACAAACAATCATATAACACGAGAACCAATAAATAATCACTAATTACCCGAATTACTAACAATTATATGAACCATCGATCAAATTCATTATGCCAATCTCCCAATTAAGATTGTTTCCATTATAAATTCCATATCAAAATCCTCCCTCGTCGATAATTACCCATTAGATTACGTTCTGCGCATCGAACAACGGATTCTGAGAGTAAAAATCTTATCTTTAGCCTCAATAATGGTGGTAGATTGTCAAGAAGAGACTTGAGTTTGTTCCTTTTCTCTCAAGTTTAAAATTTGGAAATTACGACTTTAAGTCACGCTTGGCCCGCCACTGCGGCTCCGCCTTAGTGACAAAAAATACCTCCAAAGCGGAACAATGAGCTATTTTGATAATTTCAATACCCTCATTTCACAACACACCTTCAACCAACGACAGTCAGAAACTACCCGTTCACACTAAGATCAATTTCAGGAGTTCTACTTCCCCGAATTCAATTCCATAAAGTCGTACAAGTTTCTTAGCTCCTTAGGTATGTACTCATTTAAACAAAGTCATAATTAAATCACTTGATTATTACTAGATTTCCCTACACCTTAACGACTCTAATTTTTTTTCAAATCTGGACTAGCTTGAAATTTTTCAAGTTATTACGAAAAAAAATTTAGATCCAAATTTTTTCTCCGTTGGCTATTCTATAACGACAGAACCCGATTATTACAACTAAGCCCCATGATTTATGGTATTAGTAATAGTAGGTATTGAGAGCTTGATTGATTGATCCTTTTAGCTGATGTATGGCTTGTTTAATTGGTTGATACTCTATACTCTGTATTATTCATATCCTTGAGGAAATTGATAGACATTTTACATGTGCATCAAATATTTTTTTCGTATCGATGGAATTCTTTCATGTTTTTATACGTTGTCACACACATAACATACATGATAAATCAAATGATTATAGTTCGCGAAATCCAAAGGATCTAGTTCCAGTATGATTTTGAGAAGCGTGAAGATAGTCATGGAAATACCAACCCTCAACATCACTTCATGTAAGGTCGCTCAATAATGTTATTAAGTGTACATATTTTTGTATTCACTTTAGACTTGCTGCACCTTTTTGTGTGTAGATCTTGTTTTGAGTCAGAGTATTGGTGATGGATTAAAGTATTTGGGATGAACTGCTTAGTAGTTTCACAACACATAGACTCCTTTTTTGTTTATTTATTTCTTACTCTTCTTTTGGATAGATGTAGTCTTTCTGATCATAAACTTGAAATCTTACTTTAAAAGCTCTTATACTTGTGACATCAAATTTTGTGTGGCATTTACTCATCTTTACACGACACCTTTTATATTGTAAATGGTTGCTTGAATTTTAGTTTTTAGTATCGGCTTTTCTCTTACTTTCATGCTTAAAACGGTTTAAATGAATTTAGTAGTTTTATTGATTCGATTATAAGGTTTGGGTAGGTTCTATCACAACTTAGGATTATTGGATTATGAATGTTAGTAAAGATAAAAAAAATTTAAATATTGGAAAAGTAAAGCTTAAAAGATTTTGAATATTCTTTCACAATTGCTCTATTTCTTTTGGAAGAAAGTCGTGCGTAGCTATAAGCTTTGCTAAATACTATCACATTTATTTCAAAGGAATGTATCTACATTTATACTCTCTTGTCCACTTTTAAATGTCATGTTACGTTTTTCCAAAGTCAATTTGACTAAATTTCAAAGTTAATTTTGATTACATTAATTTGAAATTTTAAACGAAAAAAACTTAGATATTCAAAAACTATTCAAAAAGTACTATAAGTTCCAAATTTTTTGCATATCAATATGATGAAAAAATGTATCATAAGATGTTAGTCAAAGTTATTATTGTTTAATTTGACTCTAAAAAAACTGTGACAATTAAACGTGGATGGAAATAGTAATATTTATAAATAATTTTCATTCTTGAAAGTGGAACATATATAATCATATCAAATTGTGATAGTTTAGTACCTCTTTTAAGATGTTACTTCAGGAGTAAATCAAGTCGTGCATATAATATAGGAATAAGATATGTGTGCTCTTTCTTTTCAAATCAAATTGTTAGAATTACATCGGACATGTTATTATTGTTATTGTTATATCTTTAATTTCAGTTGTAATCCTAGCAAGCTTATGAAAATTTTACCAGTTGTAGTGGTTATAGACAAATGAAATTAGCTAACAAGGCATAAAATTGAAACAATAATAGTTATCATTAGCATAACAAGATTAAAAGCACATGGAGTGATATACAATTTACTCACATGACTTTTTTTTTACACTAATCCTATTTTTTAAAAACGAGTTTGACTTGGCAAAAGTCATTGTAAATCTTAGTTGAATATCCTTGGCACTTTCAAGTTGCAAAAACTGAAATTAATGAAAATTAGATAATAGACATACTACTTTTCATGGAGAAGAAAACAACCACCAAAAGAATGATTGGAATAGAGATTAATTTGTCTCTCAATCATAATTATCTGCACTCAAGATGATAAATTTCATGTTGGTAACATTTTATGTTACGTAATAATAATAAATACATAAGATAATAAGAGATGTAATCAAGAAATTGAGCGAAACACAAATTTTATTTCTCTTTATATTGGTGTATAATTCATTTAGCTTCATATTTATTTATAGAAGAAATTAAGTTGTTGCGAGACTTTTCAAAAAGCTATTGCAAGACTTTTGCAGAAATAGTTGTCTGATTAAGCTATTTGCAAGTTTCCTGCTTAGGTTTCTTGCAAGTTATCTATATGATTACAAGCCTGACGAAGCTGCTACGAGACTTTTTAGAAAGCTAGCTACTTTCTTGATTGCAAAATTTTTTAAGAAATTTTAAGGTATATTTAAATAAATATCCACAATATAGTGTATCAATAACATGTTTTAAATTTTATTTTATTTTTCACAATTGATCTAGTGAATCTATTAGTTTTGGTAAACTGGAAAATGACGTATGTGATTTTATTTTATTTTTTTTTGTTGGATATTACATTGAAAAAGATGTGTCAATTTTTTTTTAGCAATAGTTAGAAATTTGTAGTTGACTTTCACATGTTCAATTGCCAATGCAGCAACTTGTATTGACCCAGCCTAGCCTACAATTAAAAGATAAGTCATTAAATAACAACTATTTCAAAGTTCAACAACTTGAAATGATGACATAAAATTGAATAGAAAGATGCAAAGAAGAACATAATGAAATACATATGAGAAAGACACTTTGAAATTTCCACCTATCCCCTCATTTATTAGACAAGTTCGATATTATTTTTTTCGTTGTTCGTTATTCATATTATAGTTTGATTAAACCTAAATTTGCATCAGGACGTTCTACATTTGCAGTATAGTGGTGTTTGTTATTCATCCACTACAACAAAAATAACTTTTAGCGGCAATAAATATTGACATTAATACCAGCGTTAATTAAGTTTCATTATAATGAATGTTGCTAAACGCGTGAGGGACTTATACAAAGAGTGTTAACAATTAATTCTGATCATTTTTTTACATAGTAATATTGCAGTTGGACTAAATTTGGATTTGCACTGGGACGTTATACATTGTGTTGCCCAACAAAGGCGACTTCATATCCCGATAAATTCGAAACCGAGTCCTCTGATTAAGGATGAATGAGTACTTACAGTTCTACCAGTTGGTTAGCCAAAGTTGTTATTCTTCTTTGATATTCTATTTTCTTAGTATTGGCTAAAACTGCCTTATTCTTTCCAAAATAGAAAAAACGTCGTCTTATTCTTAGATAATGGAACCACTATATTATATCATAAACCTTGTTAAAATTCTAACATGCTTAAATTAGCTTGCAAACCCATTTCTTTTTTTTTTCTTTTTTTTCTTTTTTTTTTTTTGTATTGAGATTGAGGACATGAATATAGAGTCAATTTTGTTTCATAAAAAAATACTTGTACAAAGTTTCATAGAGGGTATGAGTTTCTTTCGTTTGAGTTATAATTTCTTTATGTAATTACTGACCTATTTTCGTACATCATCAAAATTTCCCCTTCTGACATGGACAAGTGATAGGCAAAATTTATTAGGTCGTTGCGATGATGGATTGAATATCCGCATTTATAAGCAACTTCAATGTTTAATTGAAATTCTGTTATATTGAATATTTCAAAATATTTCACTTAAGAATCCTCCCTAAGTAATACACCATTGTAATTGGGTCGTTGTCATTACGAGTTGGATGTCTAACTGCCTGAGCAATTTCAACGTTTAATTCAAAATTTGATGAAGTTTTCAAAACATTTCTCTTAAGATATTGAACAAGTAATAAACGATATCATATGTGATTCATGAACTTCCATCATCTAAGTTTCTTAACTAGTTTATGCGTTTTGAACTTTTCAAACGCAGCGACTAAAACATCTGAATAGCTCTAAAGGAAGAAAAACCAATGGAGAGAATTATTTTAAGACAGGATAAGGAGATTGATGAAATAAAACCTAACAAAAATATTGAAACAATACGAACCGCTACATTCTAAGTAGATGGATTATATGTAGGATGACAAACAAACAAAAACATTGAAGATAACAATAGTTAAAGACTTATTGTTTAGATGAAAACTAAGTATATGAACTGCAAGTTTGATGAAAACATTAAATATAACATCCTTAATTAATGGTAGTTTAGATAAAACCTAAGTAGAGCTCATAGTAGGGAGTGCAAAACCTGTTCAACCAATACAACGAAAGAAAAAAAAATAACACTATAGATATATTGGCATTGAATTATTGATTTTTTGGTTCAATTTTCAATTTTGTGATTTTGGGTTGTCAACAAATTGACAAACTCAATAAGAATATATTTAAATATATACACATATCTATGATCTTATGAGCCATTTTTATTGGTTAAACTGAAACCATAGCCTAAAACCGATAACACATATCTTATTAAAATTTAGTTATAGTTTAGTGTGTTCACAAATTAAAAATCAATAAACCAAACCAACCATTGCATAAAAGTTATCATAAGGATTAAATAATCACTTCTTGACTTGACTTAGCCTTCATCCATGAGATCGCCGTATCACTAGAGGCCCACTGATACAATAGACTTCAAAACCTCACCTTCCCTTTCTTATAAAATATAAACTACCAACATTCTTATTCCTCAACTTGCAAAAAAAGGTAACAATCTACATTCTCAGCTTGGTGTTGAACAGCTCCACAGTCGCGCAATAGTCTTTTGCGGTGTTTTTATCCTTTCGTTTCACTTTTGGCACAGGAAAAAGAGGAATATATTTGTTCCCATGGCGTCAAGCTCAACATCAAAACTGCTGTTCTTCATTCTTGCTTCGATTTTTCTTGTTAATTCAGCTCAAAACTGCTCAAACTACACTTTCCCAGCTAATAGAACTTTCACCACTTGCAAAGTGCTCCCTGTTTTAGAAGCAAACCTGCACTGGACCTACAATTCATCAAGCACAAAAGTTTCAATGGCATACAGAGCTAAACAAGATTCTAAGGGGTGGGTAGCATGGGCTATCAACCCTACGAGACAAGGCATGGTTGGATCGCAAGCATTAGTTGCTTTCCATAACTCAACTGACAGCATGATAGCTTACACAACACAAATAACAAGTTATAGTCCATCAATGCAGAGAGCTAATCTCAGCTTTCAAGTTTCAAATATATCTGCAGAATACTTGAACAACGAGATGATTATCTTTGCGATTATAGGACCACTGGGCAATGAAACCACAGTAAATCATGTCTGGCAAGGTGGACTCTCAGTCTCAAACGACATCCCTCAGATACATCCATTTTTATCCCAACACCTTCAATCATTTGGACAAATAGATTTTCAGACAGTTTGAATACTCCCTGAGAAGAATAGTTATCTTGTTTTTTTCAACTTATCAAATAAATAAGAAGTCATCCTGGGCTTTCATCCAATATTCCAAATCAGAATGTCTAGAATATTATGTAAAATAAGTAATAAAAAGTTCCAACTCTTCTTGTGCTTTCTTCGCCATCTCTCAACTACTGTCTGTTTGAAACAAACCACACACAAATTAGTCAACAATCAAACATTTGCTGCGTTTAGTTTATATATCAAGGTGTTGTTGCTGTTGTATATATCAAGGTGTTGTTGCTGTTGTATATATCAAGGTGACCTTCCAGAGTAATATAATGAGGAAAAGAACAAAAGCCGTATTGAAAATTCCTTCAAGTGCCTGGAGCAGATTAATTAGTGAAAAATCAGTAGAAGAGTCGCAAGGTTTGATTCACAGTCTCTGGATATAAAAAACTAATCACCAAATAATATACTCAATACCCTCCAGACTGAAGGGAGTGGTCTAACCGGGGGAATATGAACAATAACCATGTTGTTGCCTATTAATCGATGCAGCTCAAAGCACATTCACTCGGTCATCAGCATACACAATGTGTCTTCAGGTGCTATGAATGTGTAACCATATTGCCAACTAACTGACGCATCTCAAAAATCTTTGACTCGGTCATTGGCAACTCCAAGGTCATCTGCACAACATATATAGATTTAGATGTCAACAACTAAATTAAATAAGCCAAAAGAACTAAGAGGACAGCCTAGAAAAAATGAGGTTTTGATCAAGCCTCCTTTTTTAATCAACTTAAGAAGTATTAAGATTTAAGGAAGCCGGAATTTTTATTACAATTCAACTTTGTCGCAACAGTTAATCATAATGTTAATGAACAGAGAATGAAGATTTCATCCACTGAACTCTCAGTTTAGCAGTATTAGTAACTCCTTTGTGGCACGGAAAAATGTCTCCAAAGCAACCAACTGTTCATTATTGAGAAAAAGAAAAAGAGAATTATCAGCTCACCTCGTTGAATATTTTACTGTAAGAGGTCTCCTTGAAACCCTGCAAAAAAATGTTTGAGGTTTCTTGACTGTCAGCTCTATATATTCTAATTAACATGTAAAAGGATCACATTATGGATCGGGTGCATGAGTTGGTGGTTATAGGGATACCAATTTTTGGAATAGACTGAGAGAGACGTGATTTAATTCTCCAATTTTGACGCGGAAGGTATGTATCTTGAAATTATCAAATGCAAATGTCATCATCATGAGAACAGATTCTTTGCCAAGCCCTTTACCACGACTATACTAGCAAAAGCACCATAAGAAAATGAAAATTAGTCCAAGAAAAAAAAAAGAATGTAGGGAAATTGAAAACATACTAATAAAAACAGAGTTGTGACATGCAAACATGTATGAGAAAGTATGCTGCTCGAATCGGGTGAGGGTATACGATATGAGTTCAGATCTAGAGGTCAGATTCGCAAAGATTCATATTTTAAAAGTTTGGGGGTACGGATCCAGGTATGGGATTCAATTAAGAAAAACTATAAAAGTAATAAGAATATTCTAAATTTGGAGAGATTTTGTGAAAGTTACATGTAGGTTGTAATATTTTAATCTTTCATTCTAATAATTTCTCAAGTTATAGGCACAAGCAGCTAAGTTCTAGGCATTCTCCAAGATAGACATATTTCTTCCACTCTCCAACCATGTATTGTACACAACAAATAAGCAAACTAACAACAATTATTTCACAATAGACAAATGCTCTCACGCACTAATCCCTAGATTTTAACTTGAAGGTCCCACTAACCTTTAGGAAACCCTTTTCCGGTGGACTTTATCTGCCGGAATTCCCCCTTCTCTCGCTCCTTTTTTCTTTCCCAACTCCTTTATCTCTACCCCTCATCCATGGATAACAGGATTTATTTTAGATTAGGAGGGAAATCATATAATCTGACAGAAACCAGAGCTTCTTCAGATATTTGGTACGAATGGGTGGAGAAGGCAAAGCCTTTTGTGAGAAGAATGAAGATTAGTAGGGGCACACTAATGTGGCTTTGTAACAGATTTAGGGAAGCCTCGGTCGTTAAAGGGAAGTCTTTTAAGACTTGGAAATGCAAAGATATTTCTATCAACATTTATTGCAGCTTGAAGTTCAATAAATTTGGTAGGTTCATCTCTGTTATTTCGGTTAAAAATAATGATAGATCTGTGATTATTCTACCAGAAAACTCATTTAATGAAGGTTGGGGAGAGTTGGCTCTAAAGATTCACAATTTTATTTCACAAAAATCCAGTCTACAAGATTCAAACACAGAAAAAGGAGGTTTCAGTTCATTGAGACTCAGGGGAGGGGATAGCTACAAAGAAATATTACAGAAAAAGAAATGGTGCAATGCAGACCAAAGTCAGCCATCAGCGTCAACTCCGGGAAGCGATAGGGGTCCTCATAGTAGAAGTCTGGTTGGCAGATTTCCCGACTGTGACGAAATACCCACCAGAGCAGAAGTTAGAAACTGGGCTCAACAGACCTGGAGGGGCATTCACAATCTACAGATCTATGATATGAATGGAACCCATTTTCTTTTCGAGTTTCACACAAGACGAGATGCATAGCACATTCTTCTGGGTGACTGGAGACGGAGAAATCACCCTCTGCTCTTAGAATGGTGGAAACCAACAGACCATCTTCGATTGGTTTTGGGTCCGGATTCTGGGACTTCCCCTACAGCTGTGGAACGATAAGGTGATGAAGCAAATCCGAGACCTTTGTGGTGGGTGGCTCGAGACAGAGGAAGAAACGCAATTGAAGAACCATTTGAGATGGGCCCGACTTCGAGTTTTGGGGCCAAGAGAGAAAATCCCTTCCAGCATTAAGATCAGCGATAGCGACCTTATTTTACTCTTCCGTTTGGATTGAAGCTCCTGTGAGACGCAGAAAGAAGGAAGAGGATGGGCTCAGGGATCGAGAAGTCAAAAAGATGAAAGAAAAAGGGAAAGTTATTGCAAGCCTTAGTCTGTACTAAGGGTGGCAGACGGACCGGTTTTTGGCCGGTCCGGCTCCCGTACCGGTCCGTCCGGTACCGGTCCGTCCAGTAAGGAACCGGTCTTTTGGTATGCCGAACCGGTTCCCGATTTTTTAACCGGTTCGGTAAGAACCGGTTTCGGACCGGTCCGATCCGGTAAGAACCGATTTCGTCGGATTTTCAATTTATTTATTTTTTCAATTAAGGTGGCCGTTTTATGACCGTTGGGCCCTTCTAGCCGTTGGGCTGGGGCCCAAAACAGTCAACTATCACCCCCCACTCCTTTCTAACCCATTTACACTATAAATATACCCTTTTTTTCCATTTTAAATCACAAATTCACTACTTATACAATCTTATACAATCTCTCAAAGTCTCAATTTTAAATCTCTCATAAATTATTAATCATTACATTGTGATATTAATTATTAATTATTCAATTCCTCCTAAATTATGTACTCTTATTCTCTCTCTAATATTTGTATTGTATAATTTATTTATTTGAATAAATATACAGCTATTCGCCTTAATTTTCTTTTATTATAGTCTCTTCTATTTAATTCATGTCATTTTATAAATTTAATTTTTAATTATTTTAATAAAAGTTTAAATTAAAACTTTAAATTCAATATAAACTTTAAAGTTTAAATTCAATTTCAAACTTTAAATTCAATATAAAGTTTAAAAAACTTTAAATTCACTATCAAACTTAAGTTCAATATAAAACTTAAAATTCAATTTGAAACTTTAAATTCAATATAAACTTTAAAGTATAAATTCAATTTCAAACTTATATAAACTTTAAAGTTTTCAATTGAAGTTTTTAATATAAATATATAATATTATAAAATAATCAAAATAATTAAAATTGAAAAAAAAAAGGTACCGGATGAACCGCTAAGACCCGGTTCCAAACCGGTCCAACCCGGTTACTAACGAACCGGGCGGAACAGGTTGGTTTTTCCGATAAAATCCGGTACCGGATTTTCTTACCGGTACCGGTCCGATTTCCGGTAAGAGCGGTCCTGTTGACCCGAACCTGTCCGTTTGCCAGCCTTAGTCTGTACCAGATTGATACAAAAGAGAGATTTAGGGACTAAATTTCAAATTTTTATCCAAGGGATACAGAAAAGACAACTGTTCCTAGTACTTCTTTGCTGAGAAGTCACATGGATACTGCAAGGCACGTGATTTCATGTGAGAAGATGGACCAAGGAGATGCTGAGAGTTCAAAAAGGTTTTGGGTTTGTGGGAAATGTTTTGGGCCTCCTAAAGCCCAAGCTTCTAAAAGCTTCATTAAAGGAATAAGCCCAGGCCCTCTCCTTATATCTTCTCAAGAAGACCAGATCTTCATTATGACTTCTCCAAACTCTTTTACTGAACAGAGCTGGAGAACATGATGAGCATGGAGTCAAATTTGTCAACGGCAAGAAAAAACGGCGGCAAAGAATTGATAAATTTTGACATTAAGCAAAAAACGGCGGCAAAGAATTGATAAATTTTGACATTAAGCACAGTGAGGTAAGAGACAAAGTCAACCCAAATGTTTCTAAGAAGGAGGATTATGGTTCGAATAAAAAGGATGAAGGTGATCAGGAGGAGAAGTCCAAGGGACACATGATAATTTTTGAAGAGCCGATGCCATTGCAGATGGAAGAACCACTCTCAGAAAAGGAGATTGAAGATAGAGCCACAATATGGTGCAGTCTAATGTTCTTGAATTCAGCAGGAGGTTTGGAGCAGCTTTCGAGGGATGTGAAAAAATAACCTTTGAATTACTCGTGAAGATAGACCAAAAGAGAGGCTACCTAGATAAGAAAGGCTACCAAGAAGGAATACAACCAGAATAGTGTCCCAAAGGAGCTAAGAAACTTAGAATTTCATATGAACTTTAAAGACGGGGAACCTAGAGGTAGAGGGAGAACAACACCTCTTAGACTTAAATGAAAATAAATATTATTTCTTGGAATGTAAGGGGACTGAATGGGGGGAGCAAAAGGAGTCTCATTAGGTTTTAACTAAACAATGGGGGGCTGACGTCTATGTCTTTGTAAAGACAAAGTTGAGGGGAGTTGACAATGCTTTATTCAAAGAGGTGTGGGCTAATAGGTGGATGGGTGAGTTCCATTTAGATGCAATGTGTAGAAGTGGAGGGATTGTAGTAATGTGGGACAAAAGGTAATGGAAGGGGAGGCTAATAGGGACTGCTGGTCGGATGCTTACATGTAAACTAGAAGGCGAAGTACAAAATGTCACTTGGTTTTTAAGTGCAGTTTATGCTGACTGCAACCCAATAATAAGAAAGGAACTGTGGGGGGAGCTGACAACAATTAGAAACACCTTCGAAGAACCATGTGTGGTGTGTGGCAACTTCAATGTTACAAGATATCCTAACGAAAGAACTGGCAGCCATCATCTGTCTGGAGAAATGACAGAGTTCACTGACTGGATCCTCATTCTGGATTCCTGACTCGTCTGGTGTTATTTGACCCTCCTTTATTTGGAGGATCTTATACTTGGAGAAGGGGTGAGAATCACACAACAGATTCCAGAATTGACAGATTCCTCTATTCTAATCATTGGGAAGAATTTTTCCCGCAAATTAGACCAAGTGTACTCCCAAGAGTAGGCTCGGACCATAGTCCAATAGCTCTAAACTGTAGAAAGCTAAATCTCAAGAAGACTTATTTTAAGTTTGAGCAATGGTGGATGAGGGTGGAAGGGTTAAGAGAAAAAGTAAAAGAATGGTGGGCATCCTTTACAGTAAACGGAACAGCTTCTTTTAGGTTGGCAACAAAACTAAAGCTACTCAAAGGGAGATTGAAGGAATGGGAGCTAGAGAATAGAGGCAACAAGAAACATAGAAAGGAGGATGTGTTGAACCAAATTGCTAGTCTTGAAACTATCCAGGAGCAGAGGACACTGAATGTGGGGGAGAGGCTACACAAAGCTAGGTTATTCAACGAATTTGCAGAAATTTCCAGGAAAGAGGAAATAGCATGGAGACAGAGGTCCAGGGTACAATGGCTCAAGCAAGGGGATAAAAATACCAAATACTTTCAGAAAATGGCTACATCACACAAAAGATTCAATACAATCGAGAAGCTAGAAGTGGAAATTGTGATTATTTCTGAACCAGAGGAGATCAAGAACGAAGTTGTAAGCTTTTACCAGAAACTTTACAAGGAACCAGAACAATGGAGGCCACAGTTTAATCTCCAAGGAAGTGAAAGCGTCAGCGTGGAGGAAAAAGAGTGGCTACAAAGACAAT